AGACCTAAGAAAGCCAGGGAATACTCAAGTGGCCACATAGAGTTGGGGGTCACAGTTACAGCCTAAAGACCTTTAGCCAGACCTTCTCGTGTTGAACCTGTGCAGAAGCAGGAGGTGGCACCTGAGCCTAGGGGTCTGGGTGCTCTCCACACCTCCATGCTCCACCTTTTTCCAAGCCTCTGTCCTCTAGTGTCCATCTCTTTCCTGTATTGTTGGCCTCTCCCTGCGCTTCCTTCATCCTGAGTGCAGATACAGCCTTTGGCACTAAAACAGGAAGGCAAGACACCCACCCCCTTTAACTATGAGCTCCTTTCTCTCCTTCCCCTGCTTCTGTCCTGTTTTGTGGTGTGCTGAGAGCTACAGCCGAGTCGGAATGGCCCCTGGCATTTTGCCAATAGTATTGGTTGAGAGGCGAGCCATTAAGATGATGCTGGATTGATTCAATTGTATATTAGACCTTTACTGTCCAACTCTGGTGCCCGCTACTTTGGAGTTCTCCTGAGGATTGCCTGGGGAGTTCCTGTTGGTTGGGGAAGTTCCAGGAGAGGGATTTCCAGTTGGTGTGTGGTGTGTCCAGGGAGAAGGCCACGTGGGTAGCGTGCGTGGAAATTCGGAAATAAAGTTTGTTCCTGCTTGAGTGGCTCGTGATTTGTGCCCAGCCAGACTGTGGCAGTGGTGGTGCCATGGCTTGACCCCAGGGCATCAGGCCAGCTAGGCAGACACTGCACACTGAGCTACAGCCCCAACTCCTGCCGGCAGCAGTCTACATTTTCCCCTCTGTGTCAGTAAACCATTTCTTCTTTTTCTCCTTCTTATTTTTAAAAATTTATTTATTTTTGTGGTGCTGGGAATTGAATGCAGAGCCTCATGCATGCGAGGTAAATGCTCTACCACTGCACTGAGCCATGTCCCCAGCCCCTGTAAATTACTGGTGACTTCCCTGCCCAACCCCTCTGTTGAAATGGTTATTATTAGAATAACCCTCATATTTGTCCTGCTCAGGTCTCGCCACACACTGCTGTGCAAGTCTCCATGCAGGGCTTCTGGTCCCCTTCAGTGTCAAGCCGGTTCTTGGTTGCTTGCAGTTGAGCTGATCCTATCTACGCAGTGGAAAGACAGGTCTTCCTGGAAGACTGGCAGACAAGGTTGAGCCACCTTCTGCGGTTCCCTGGCCAGCAGAATACTGACCAGGCTTTGATGCAGTGGTCCTTGCCCCTCCCTAGACCTGCACATGCTCAGCCTTCCTAATTGGGTGCAAAGCGATACCTACTAGGAAGAATGTGAGAAAGACAGAGGAGTCTGCTTGTTGCTTGAGCAGTGTGATGAGGGGATGGTGGAGGAGAGATGATATGCCTATGTGCCAGGCTTTCACTTTCTTCCTTTCTTTTTCTTTTAATATTTTTTAGTTGTCAGTGGACCTTTATTTTATTTATTGATATGTGGTTCTGAGCATTGAACCCAGTGCTCCACACATGCTAGGCGAGCTCTCTGCCACTGAGCCCCAGCCCAGCCCCTTCGGGTGCTGAGGATAGAACCCAGGCCTCACATGTGAGGCGAAATGCTCTGCCACGGAGCCACATCCCCAGCCCCAGTGGGATGAGTTTTAAGAACATATATTATTAAACCTAACACATCCCTAGTGTTACTATTTCAGTGTATAACCAGTGTTGTTAATGAGTATTTCCCATTTTTTCATACCCAGTTTAAAGATCTGATGTGTATGGTACACTGGGTTGGGGCTATGCACTCACTGCTGAGTTGCTTATTCCCAGACAATTTGTGACATACCAAATGTCATTTATTGACATAATTAAATATCATTTATCATCAGTGTTTTGATACTTGTGTCCAGAAAAGCTGTTACCTCTGTGACTGACTCAGATTCATTTGTGGCTCTTAAAATACATGCAGGACCAGAGAGAGACTGGGTGGTGACCAAGAAGGCTGGCCACAGCGAGGCCTGCACCTCAGGTGTGTGTGGCTTGATGCTGCCACTGTTGGGTTGATCCAAGACCTCGGTGCCTCTGTCACTGAGTACTGCTGCTATACTGAATGTTAAACTGTCCCTGTCCTCTGGAACAGTGGGAACATAATTCAAGAGGTTGAAGCAATTTTACATTTTCTGGTAGCTGCATTTAAAGAAAGTAAAAAACAATGACATGGTTTTCATATCAATTTTTCAAAAGCTGATGTAAACTCAGCACGTTTCAGTTGTCCTAGCCACTTTTCAAGTGCCCTCTGTGTTGGCCACTATAGGTCTAGACTCAGAGCCCCGGGCAGCAGTGTCTGATGAACTGCGCTCCCCTGGCCTGCTTGGAGTTCTGTGCGGGAGGAGGGGGACTAAGCCCCACACAAGAGTTGGAAGAGTTGGGCAGGTGAGGCGCTCACTGTAGCCTGTGTCCCTGCTGCTACTCATGTGTCTCTGACCAGTTCGTCCCTGCTGCTAACCCTTTAAAAAAGTTGATGTTTCTCTGGGATCCATTTTTGGTCTTCTGGTCTTTTCTCTTGGCCTGTCCGCCTTCTCTCCCTCCCTTTGATTGAACCCAGGGCCACTTACCCACAGAGCCACATCCCCAGCCCTTTTTAATATTTTATTTAGTGTGAGGGTCTCGCTAAGTTGCTCAGGGCCTTGCTGAATTGCTGAGGCTGGCTTTAGACTCGTGATCCTCCTGCCTCAGCCTCCTGAGCTGCTGGGATGACAGGCCTGCTCCACTGTGCCTGGCTTTCCTGGCTCTTTCTTTGGGTGATGTTATCTTTTGGTTTCAGCCATCCTTTGTATGCTGATGACTGCTGTATATTTGTACCTTTTTTCTAGGTTTATAGTTACATATTCATTTCTTGATGGATATAGTTTCTTATATGTTCCCTGGGCCTCTCCTACTCAGTTTCCCATTTTGAACTTAATCTTTCCTTTACACCTGCTCTTCCTCTTCTTTCCCCTAGTCTTATTTAATGGGACTATTATATGTTAATTGTTTAAACCCAGTCCAGGGCAAGTTAATCCTGAATTTCCCTTCAAATTTGGCCCTTCTCGGAGCCATGCTCCGTTCCTGGTGTCTTTCATAGACCTTTGGTAGTAGCCCTTTAACTTGCCCCCTGTCTTCTTACAGTCCTTTTCTCCCCACCCCCAGCTGTTCCAGGCAATATAGCCACCACTCCACTGCTTGAACTTTTTCACTGTCTGTGGAGGGAAGTTCAGGCTGTGTGGTGGTGTCAGGGCCTCCCTGTCTGTCTCTTTAGTCTCCCTGATGCTCCTGACCTCTACTCTGATCCCGTGATCATCGCTTGGTGGCTACCTGTGGAGTGATATTGTCTATACAGCCAGAACTGTTCCCCCGGCCCTCTGCCTCTGTGGATGTGATTGTTCACTCTCCCCGTTGTGCCCTTTCTTGCCCGTTTATTTGGAATGTTCTCTGAATTAATAACCTCTGGCTGTTTTCCCTGGTCGTGGAGGCTGGGCTTCAGACCCAGACTCCGTGTTTCCCAGGGTCCTTGTCTGTGCAGTGTCTGGCTCACTATATTTTTATTGAACTGAATTAAGCAAATTTGAAGGAAGTCTAGGTGGGAAGATATGTTGGCTGCAGTTGCAGACATCTCTATAAATAATGAGCATTCAAATGCTTGATGGAGAAATGAAAATCAGATTTTATTGTTTTGCAGATACTGTTTGGGGAGAAAATAACTTCAGGAAACGAATCTTTTCTTGTCATAATCATATCTCTTGTGCATCAACATAAAGAATAGCTAGTTTAGCTTGTTTTTAATATTCCGTGGTATTGTGTGCATGCTGGCTGTCTCTGACATCTAGGATCACATCATATATCATCTTTGTCCCTTGTATCTTGGGGTGCTGAGGATCACATGTGTTCTGTGCCTATTTTGCTCCTGCCAAGGCTGATATCAAAGAAGAATTTGCCAATGTTTATTCCTTGAGCAAGGGTTGGCAAACTAGCAGTAGTGTTTTGTAAATAAAGTTTTACTGGAACACAGCCAAACCATTGATTTACATATTATTTATTCATAGCTCCTTTGTGCTGAAACAGTGTAGTTGAAGAGGCCATGTGGTTTGCAGTCTAAAGTGTTTATTTTGGTTTTTGACATAAAAAATTTTGCCAACCTTTGCCTTAAAGCCACTTAATATGGAAAGACAAAACCTTACATTAAATCTATCCAAACTGGGCCCTACTCTCTGATTAGGAATTAGAAGAATACAGAAGAAAAAATATAGACCTCCTTGACCTTGTGCTACTTATTTGGTGGGATGCTTTTGTGAAATTTCTTGTTTTTCTTTCATTCTGCTCCGTGTGTTATGGAAGATATTGTCCACATTTCCTAGTGTGCCTCAGATGTGAATATTATATTTTTATTCTAAAAATTTAAAATTAATGTCTTTAGTCACATGGAAAACAGTGGATACCCTAGTTAGGTATGTGAAATCTAAAGTGCAGACAAAGTTTGTGTCTATGGCAGACTGCGTAATGCATAGAGGATTTCCATTAAAACAGTTTATATTTTCAGTGTAAGTGTCTTCCTCCCTTTGCCCTCCTGCCCTTTGTCCACCCCTGCCTCTGTCCTTCTGTGGGCAGAGTACCTTCTGGTTTGGCAAGTTCTTTATTTGTCTCCCTGTTTGTGAAAATAAGTAAGCTACCTTTAAGCATAAAGGTAAAATCTTGGAGGTGTGAACTTAAGGTGCTGAATACTTTACCCAGTGTTGACTGGTAAGGTGTAGGCACGTGCCAGTCAGCAGCAATGTCACCTGGAAAGATGGCACTGAGTTGAGGGATACCAGAGCCCTCCTCAGCTATTGCATAGTGGGGGTCTAGGGACTTGGGTGGTGGCCAGGATAGGGAGGGGTACCAGTTGATGATCAGTCTTGCTCTGACATCTTTCTGTAACCTGTACATGATACATATTTACTGTGAATTTTGCTTATGGAAAAATTTTCCATTTTTGCAACAGTTATTTTCTTTTCAGGATATAATTAAATTTTTATATTTTAGGTTGCCTGTCTGATTCGAGTTCCTTCAGAAGTGGTTAAGCAGAGGGCACAGGTATCTGCTTCCTCAAGAACATTTCAGATTTTCTCTGATATCTTATATGAAGAGGTGAGATGTTTTTAGGTTTTATTTCTTCTCTTTGCTGAGGACCATTTTATAGTAGTTAATAGGAACACTGTGTGGCTCATAACCAGAGCCTAAGAGGAAACCTTGGAGCTGAATTTAATGTTCAATTATAGTAACTTTTAAACTAAGATTATCTTTGCCTTTTCTTTGTTTTTGAATTTCTAGTTTTATTTCTTTTTCAAATTTCTGACCAAACATACAGTGAGTACCATTATATATGTATCCTGTTGTTATCTTCCTATATTTATTTTAGAACCAGACACAGAACAAATGGTAAATATGTAAAGTGAATAACTATACTAAAATATCCCTATAGAATTTGAGGGCCCAAAAAAGAAATATAGTAATGGACCTAGAATAGTGACCAACTTCATAATATTTGTGTCAAAATATAATTTCTCTTTTTTCTGATCAGAGTTAGCTTGAGTCAAAAATTATTTTTTTCTAGACATTGACTAGGAAGCACTTAGCTGTTCTCCTTTATAGTTTTTATAGAAGCTTTCGTTTGTTTTGTTTTTTTGAAGCAGGATCTGATTATGTTGCCTAGTCTGGCCTCAAACTCTTAGGCTCAAGGGATCCTGCCTCAGCCTCCCTAATAGCTGGACTATAGGCCCATGACATGGCACCTGGTGTTTTGTTTTTTTTTTTAATAGGGGTTATTCTCAGCCTGTGGTGGTGATGAACACCATCAACTCAGGAGGCTGAGGCAGGAGGATCACAAGTTCAAGGCCAACCTTGGCAGCTTACTGAGACCCTGTCTCAAAATAAAAAGGGCTGAGGTGTAGCTGAGTAGTAGAGGGCCTCTGTGTTCAATCCCCAGTAACACCCCCCCCCCCCCAAAAAAAAAACCAAATCAATCTCAATGAATGTAGGTTTTAAGAAAGTTGTTCTTAATGGTTTGTCGCCCGAGCAAAGAGTGAGGAGACATTATATGAATGAGATCTGTCCTATAGGATCCTTATTGGACAATGCATATAAATCATGGTTTGTCTGGAAATATATACCACTACTTTATTGAGCAATTATTAATAAATTTGTGATGTTATGAAATATTTTCTTTTTATATGAAAGGATAATTGACATTTATATGCATCTGTTTTGGAAATATATTCAAAGCATGAGAAGAAATATTGAATAATAGCAACTAAAACTAAATGAACATGTAGGCAGCCAGTTTGTTTTTAGAGATGCTCACATTTTTTAAGGGAACTCACTTGAGTTTAGAACCTACTTCTTATAGAACTGCGATGTGGGTGAATGTTTTAGAACCCACGTTTTAGAGCAGATGAATCTGTTTTTTTCAGAATGTCATTTAGAAATCTTCTTTGCCTTTCTGACTTCACAAGTTCTTGATTTTTTTTGTTTGTTTCAGGGCATCCAAGGCTTGTATCGAGGCTATAAAAGCACAGTTTTAAGAGAGGTAACTCATTTAATTTCCACTATTGAAGTGCAAAAGAATGATATGCTTTGTTTGGCATGTGCGTATTTGTTTCCCTCTCCCCCAGTACTAGGCACTGAATCTAGGGGTGCACTACCCCTGAATACATCCCAAGTCCTTTTTATTTTTTATTTTAAGACAGGGTCTTGCTAAGTTGCCAAGAAAGACCTTAAGCTTGCAATCTTCCTGCCTTGGCCTCTCAGGTAGCTGGTATTACAGTAGATTTGTGTGTTTTTAACAATCAGAAATAAATTTGGAGAAACTGGTTTAAAAGACCAAAAAAATGGGCCAGACACAGTGGCACATTCCTGTAATCCCAGTGGTTTGGAGACTAAGGCAGGAGGATCGAAAGTTCAAAGCCAGCCTCAGCAATTTAGGGAGATACTAAGCAACTTAATGAGATCCTATCTCAGAATAAAAAATTAAAAGGGCTGGGGATATGGTTTAGTGTTTAAGCATACCTGGGTTTAATTCCTGGTATCAAGTAAATGAATAAAAATAAAGGGAATTATGCTCATTTTTTAAAAAAAAAAAATTTATTTTTTAGAAGTAGTTGGACACAATACCTTTATTTTATTTACTTATTTTTACGTGGTGCTGAGGATCAAACCCAGACCCTTGCACGTGCTAGGCGAGTGCTCTACCACTAAGCCCCAGCCCCAGCCCTATGGCCATTCTTTTAAACACTGTTTAGTTTTGTTTTGGTTCTTCCATCTAAAAGAATGGTAGAAGGGGTTTGCTGGAAGAGCCACCACCTGTGGTCAGAGTGGCCACACATCATGCCATGTAGCTTCACTGTCACTGTAGGGTGGCTAAATATCTCTTAGAGCCAAAATATTGAGAAATAACTAAGAATAAGATATCCAGTTAATCACTGTAGTTTAGAGAATTAATAAGAAATTAGTAATGAAAGAAGCACTCTAAGAGATGAGCGTGCTTTCCTTATAAGCACTGACACTGTTAAATGTAAAAGGATTTTTCGCAAGGTGACAATCTGCAGTGTAGCCTAGTTGTTCAGGAGCTTTGAAGAACTTCCTTTATTTGCAAACCAAATGTTTCAAAATGAGTTATTTGTGTGAAGAGGACTTCAGTCTTTCAGAAATATCACCTATACTGTATCTTCTTTCTGTACTTGTTTTCTGACTTTCTAAAACTGTGTTATTTATTCAGATTTCACCTGGGCACAGGGAAAAGGGCCCTTTCTTTTTTTTTCTAAAGTGTGCTGAATAAATGACTATATTTACATTCCAGTGAGTATTGGTTTTGCATATAAAAAGGCAAAACATAGGGTTACAACTGTATTGTATTCTTCTGAAAATTTGTTTTGAGGTATGTTATGATAGTAATTAATTTTTTGACTACAATCCTGGCAAATAGCTTGACCTCCCTGAGATGACTTTGTTTGCTCAAAACATCAGTGCTTTGTTAGAAATTTAATTGGGGTCTTCTGCATTGTGGGTGTTCATAAAAGATCCTTCAGAACCAATTTTAGTTGAAGTCTTGCTTCTGTGCAAACTCTCAGATAGAATGAGTGAGCTATTGCTGAATGAAACATAGCTACTTTTCCAAGTGAGAAAAACAAGAAGTTTGCTTTGAAAAATTTTTTTGCTTTATAAATAGTTTCAATTCTTAGATTATTTTTACACCAATATCAGATCTTTTTCCCAAGAGCTCCTTCGATTGTTCCGTCAACAAAATACATGGAAGCTTTAATGAAAATTGTGAGGAGATTTATACATTTATTCTGTGTGCAATTAAAAAAAATAGTTTCCTCTCTCTAGCAGTAATATATTAAAATTAGATCAAAGTTTGCATCCATGTATTTATTATATAATAGATTATGTGTGTTCTGTGGACTTTGTTCTGTAACTTTGCTGTTACACTTTTTAAATTGCATGTGATGTTTCTGGAAATTGGATGCTTATCTCTTATGTTCTACTATTTTAGTTGCTATGAATTTCACACTGAGTCTAAGCAAGGTGAGCAGATTATACTATTTACTTCACCCTTTCAGTTATCGTTTTTCTCATGATTTTTGTCAAGTTAGATGAGGATAAGCATCTTAATGCAGGGGTATTGTTTCAGTGAGATGAAAGCGGGGAGCAGAATCGTAGCTGCTCTTGTAGCCACAGTGATTTCAGATGGTCCATTGGCCTAAAAATTTTGTGGAGAGCAGCCTTGTGATGTTGATATGAAGTAGGATTTCTATAGAGAACCAGAGAAAGGTAGTTTGTTTTAGAAGAAGCAGGAATAAGCTCAGCAATGATCTTTTATCCACAAATTATTTGCAACATTTTTAGAATGTCTGCTGTGTGGGGGACATAATGCAGAACACATCTGCCCTGAAGGATTTTCCTTATGGGGACACACACCGGTGAGTGTCTTTTTTTCCATGCAGGGCAGGCAGGGCAGCAGTGAGGTGTGTATGTACAAGTGCACCTGGGATTGTAGAGGAAGTGCTGCTTGTGGTAGTCAACTAGTATTTTATATTAATAAAGATGAGCCTTGGCTGAACTCTGGAAAAAGTGGCCGTTGAAGCAGTCAAGGAAGGCAGATATAACAGCAAAGGCACAAGGAAGGAACATGTATATTTTGCTTGTTTAAGCAAAATTATGGATTTCATGCCCACAGAAGACAGTGACTTCCCAGATGTACCTTAAGCCAAGAGAGGATGCTTCACAAGCACACTCACAAAATGGGATATTTGCAAGGAGCAGTTGAACTGTCACCTCAGTTGGATATTTGCTAAGCAACTAGAGAGGGCCATATGGGAAAGGCCTGGAAAGAGCCTGATTATTATCCCCTGGAGTTTGGAGGACACATGAATGTTGTGTGGCTTTAGCTGTGCAAATCTGAAGATACTAAGCTGGTTGGAGCTGTCTGAGTGGTAGAATGTTGTCATTTTGGTAATGAATAACTCCTGACTTCTTTTCGATAGATGAGAGTAGCCACTGAAGGATTTGGAGGTAGCTGAGGATTGTTTCTGCTATTCCCAATTTTGCCACAAACAATCAAGCAGGTCAGACAAATCTTTCGGCCTGGACTGTAAGTTCCTGGAAGCCACCAAGATTTAGGTATAAAAAATCACCACTCACTGAAAAGTTTACTCCAAATCGCATACAGCAGCTTTCCAAACGTGGTTACCCTTATCACATCCTTCATTTATTGAGAATTTCCTCTCAAATCCGGTGCCCAGACACAGGCCCCTTTAGGGACCAGCCTTTGGATTGCCTTTTTTTTTTTTTTTTTTTAGAGAGAGAGAGAGAGAATTTTAATATTTATTTTTTAGTATTCGACGGACACAACGTCTTTGTATGTGGTGCTGAGGTTCGAACCTGGGCTGCACGCATGCCAGGCAAGCGCGCTACCGCTTGAGTCACATCCCCAGCCCTTTGGATTGCCTTTGAAAGTCTCCTGCCCAGCTCTGTTGTCTGCTCAGTCCAGGCCTTCCCCTGACACTCTTCATGTTGTAGTAGTCTTCTGTGTCTTTCTAAAGGTATTCAATCCTTGGGTTATATATCATGTAGTCTTTTTTTGTTTTCTTTTTTGGGTACTGGGGATTGAACTCGGGGGCACTTGGCCACTCAGCCACATCCCCAGCCCTATTTTGCATTTTATTTAGGGTGTCACTGAGTTGTTTAGCACCTTGCTTTTGCTGAGGCTGGCTTTGAACTCACAATCCTCCTGCCTCAGCCTACTGAGCTGATGGAATTATAGGCATGTGCCACTGCCCCTGGCTCACAGTCATTTGTTAATCTGTTCTTGAGATCATTGTCAATGGTTTCATGAAGCGCACCTTCACTTTTCATGATTGTGTGATACTGTTTTACAAATGAGCCTTTATGTGCTCAGCCACTCCCTAATGGTGGGAATTTCAAATGTGCTGCCATGCCTCTGTTCAGATGTCTTTTTGTATAGTTGAGAATGTTGGTAGGTTACATGCCTGGAAGTAAAATTACCTGGATAAAGGGTGTTTACAGTTTTGATGGATACACCAAGTTGCTTTATGAAGATGCAGAGGGCACTTTGCCTCCCATGTGGAGCTCTCTGTTTCCAATCCTCAACAATGGTACCAGCAATCTGTGAAATGGAAAAGATCATTGCAGTTTTAATTTTAGTTATAAATGAGGCTGAGCATATTAACATATTTCGTTTCCTTCACTGTGTATTGATTATTTGAACTACCATGAAATTCTTGTGAAAATTAAATAAGGGGTACTTTCAGGGGTGACTGACACATAGTATGTGCACAAGAAAATGAACTGTGGTTGTTTGTATGGTAACTAACAGAACCTTTGTCAGTGAAGGACACCTAAACGTGAATTACAGCTCTGCCCTTACCAGCTGTCTGCTCTGGGCATGTTATGTGCTTTTGAACCCAGCTTTGCCCATTTGTGCTAAGAACTCCGCATAGATTGTTCTTTTTGAAATGTTGAATCTCATGGCCGTCCTGTGGGATGGGTGTTAAGGCAATATGGACTACTAGGAAGCTTAGAAATTAAAGCTACCCCTGGATTGTTAGGTTCTTGAAGCGGATGTAACTTAAATGTGTGAATGTGGTTTCATGATGAGGGGTAACAGTTGCTGTTTTTGAATGGGAAGCCACACAACCATAATTGCTTGTAGCCACATTTGTTTCATCCAGATGTTTGTTGAGAGGAATTTCTTACAGTTGAATTAAACTATAGCCTGCCAACTGATTTTGTGTTCCCTGGCTACTTCTGTAGGAAAAACAGCAGCTTGGTATAATAATGGGAAGTTACCCTAACTGATGGTTGAGCTGATCAAAATGACCAATGTAAAAGGGTTAGAAATACTTTATGATTACTCTTTTTTGAATCAAATTGGCAATTTGTTATAATGTTTGTTTCAGGGAAGATTACCCATTCAGAGAAAGACTTTCTTGCTGAGATTGCAACACTTACTGTTTTCCATTGAAAAATGTTATGCAACAACTATAGCTAGGACTTCTGTTACTTATT